ATTCGGTTAACTGAAAAAATCGAAAGAAGAATAATTGAAAAAATTGAAAGGGTTCTGAAGAAGACATGAATCACCGTTGAAGCAAAATATTGGTCTGAGATAAAGCGCAACAAAGAGGATGATGTTTCAACGGGTAGTTACTATAACACAAACACCGAGCTCGAGTTGAGACCTCATTTTTTAGAAGAGAATGTGGCTTTTTCCAATGCATGAGGAGGTTCCTGCTACTCCTAAGGAGTCGGTTCAACAGAGTAAACGAACGATGCGCAAAAGAAAAAAAGATGTTAAAAGTCCATACATTGCCTTTGGATCGACAGATCCACCTTCCAAAAAGCAACGAACAAAGAGATAAACCAAAGGTCGAAAGGGAAGAAAGGGAATCCATGAGGAACGTTAAGTAGTAATGGTGCCTCTAGAGGAACGTCAAGATTCTTCTTCATGAATCCATGATCCTCTTTTTAATTAGTTGTATTTGAATCATGTGTACTCTCCAAACATCCTTTTAATCATATATATTTTATCGGGTAAAATCTTCATGCCTTGTCAAACCCGTTAAACTCGTCAGTACCCGTCAAACTCGTCAAACTTGTCTTCTAACACATTGGCTTAGGGTAGGAAATAATTTTTTCCCGCATGAATTACAGATAACAAAAACTCGTTAAATATGTTATAATGACCCCTATACACCACAACGAAGCATCAGAACTTAATTTAGACCAACGATTTATTTTCATAAACCGTCACACCAGTCAAACTCAACACACCGTTAGTACCCGTCAAACTCGTCGCACCTTATCGGTTTTCGCAAATTTGGCTACTGCAAACTATAAACTTATCAATTATCATCTCAGTCATCAAGTATCTTACGATGAATCTAAATCTAGCTCTCAGTTTTTAACACCTTTTTGTTTCTCACAATGCATGTTCTCCCAAAAAAAATACCAAAGTTTTAGTACAATTTTTATAACACATTAGGTTAGGATAGATTATATTATTTTCCAATATGATTTACGAATAAGTATTTATATATATATATATATATCAATATGTATAGTATGCATTAAGGGTGGGTTCTGGTTTTGGTACGATATTAGTACCTTATATTATTCGATTCAGTTGGGTTCTAGTTTTGTTACGGTTCGGTTTCGTTTTTTGTTAAAAAAATCAGAGTTTCTTAAAAAAGTTTCGATTTTCGGAAATTTTATAAAGTTAAGTTTGGTTCGATTCCAGAAGATTTGGTGTTATAAAAAATGCGTTAATAGATGAAGAATGAACATAATTCAACAAAAAGTCACACTTTCGTCATATTTCCATCTTCATTGTGAATACATATTCAATCTCTAAAAAAGGTCTTAACAGAAGAACCACATAATCTCACCGTCAGCCTCGTCGCACCGTCAAACTAGTCAAACCGTCGCACCTTATCGAATTTCGCAAATTTAACAATTGTAAATTGTAAACATATTGATTATCACCCCGATGAACAAGTATGTTGGATTGAAACTAATCCTAGGTCTCTAAATTTAATATCTTTTGTTTTCTTGACAATGCATGTTCTCTTATGTGAAACCCTAAAGTTCTAGTAGAGTTTGTGTAACACATTGTCTTATGGTAGAAGATATTATTTTTTCAGATGAATTACGATTAATAAAAACATGTTAAATATGTTATAATAATTCATATACACCACATTGAATATTCAAAACATTATTTAGATCGATATTTTTTTTGCACAAACCGTCCCCCCGTCAGACTCGTCGCACCATCAAACCGTCAGCCTCGTCGCACCGTCAAACTAGTCAAACCGTCGCACCTTATCGAAATTCACAAATTTAACAAGTGAAAATTGTAAACATATTGATTATCACCCCAATGAACAATTATCTTGGATTGAAACTAATCCAAGATCTCTAAATTTAACATCTTTTGTTTTCTTGACAATGTATGATCTCTCATATGAAATCCTAAAGTTCTAGTAGAGTTTGTGTACACATTGTCTTAGGGTAGAATATATTGTTTTTTCAGATGAATTACGATTAATAAAAATATGTTAAATATGTTATAATAACTCATATACACCACATTGAATATTCAAAATATTATTTAGATCGATATTTTTTTGCATAAACCGTCTCACCGTCAGACTCGTCGCACCGTCAAACCGTCAGCCTCGTCGCACCGTCAAACTAGTCAAACCGTCGCACCTTATCGAAATTCACAAATTTAACAAGTGAAAATTGTAAACCTATTGATTATCACCCCAATGAACAATTATCTTGGATTGAAACTAATCCAAGATCTCTAAATTTAACATCTTTTGTTTTCTTGACAATGTATGATCTCTCATATGAAACCCTAAAGTTCTAGTAGAGTTTGTGTAACACATTATCTTAGGGTAGAAGATATTGTTTTTTCAGATGAATTACGATTAATAAAAATATGTTAAATATGTTATAATAACTCATATACACCACATTGAATATTCAAAATATTATTTAGATCGATATTTTTTTGCACAAACCGTCTCACCGTCAAACTCGTAGCATCGTCAAACTAGTCAAACCGTCGCACCTTATCGAAATTCATGTTTTTATCACGTATAAACTGTATATTAATAATCACCCTATATAACAAATATTTTAAGTTGAAAATAATTCTAACTCCCTAACTACAATACTTTTTTTT